GTCTCTGAGGTTACAAAGCTCCTCTCTTGCTTTGTTCAGTTGCTTGTTCCAGGTGATTTCTCCCCAATTTAGTTGTAATTCCAGGTTGGTCCTGGGAGGAAGTCAGTGTGACTTCCACTTACTCCTCCACCATCTTGATTCGCCACATGTCCCCATTTTTGTTACTTATTTTTCACTCTTACGGCAATCCTTTTTCACACCCTGAGGTCCTCCTAGACTGTATACTTTGACCTGGTATTTTTGGTCGCTGATTCAATTTTTTGTAATCCTCACCCAAGGATATGATCATTGATTTTAGAAAGGGAGAGAGAAAGAGAGAAACATTGATATAAGAAACAAAAATTTATCAGTCACATCCCTGATGTACCCCAACCGGGGATCGAACATGCAACTTAGGTATATGCCCTGACTGAGAATTGAACCTGCAGTCTTTTGGTGTTTGGAATGATGCTCCAACCAACTAAGCCACCCAGCCAGGGCTCTGATTCAATTTTTTTAAAAATGTTTTTTAGTTTTCAGATTTTCTATTCTTGTATCATTTTTATTATTTATGTTTTTCTAGAAAAATTGCTTATTTCAAATGTATTGCCATAGAGTTGTTAATATTATTCACTTTCACAACCCCTTCATTTCTAGTCATCTTTATTTGCGCCTTCTCTTTTTCTCATGATCCTTCTGGCTAAAGCTTTATCTCTTTTGTTAAAGATTTCAGAGAACTAGGTTTTGGTATCATTGATAACTTAGTTGTTAAGCCTCTTTAGTTGAGTGCTGACTACTTACACTGTCTCTTGTTTTTTCATCATTGTATTTAAAGTTGAAAATTTCCCTCTAAGAACTGCATTAGCTGCATCCCACAAGTTTTGATGTGTATACCTTTATTGTTGTTCAGTTCTAGATATTCTGCATTTTCATTATAATTTCTCTGTTAGTCCACAAATTAGGAATATGCTTTTATTTTTTTTATTGTTGTATTTTTTTCCATGACCATTTAGTCCCTTTTTACTCCCCCCCCCCCCAGCAGTCACCTCACTGCGGTCCATGTCCGTGAGTCCTTTTTCCTTTCAGTCCCTCTACCCCTTAAACTCCCTACCCGCCTTATGACAGATACGCAATGTGCTTTTTAGTTTCCAAACATGTCTATATTTATTTTTACATGATTTTTATTGTCCATTTCTCATTTCTTTGTGACCAGAGGATGTGGTTTATGCAGTCTTAATTTCTTGGAAACCCTGCCAGCTCCTGAATAAGGCCTCAGGACTCCTACCACCTTTGCCCCAATGAAGAAATGTGCCAATGAAATTGATTGCCATCTGCTACCAAACAAAGATGCCAAACAGATGGTTCTACATTTCCTAAAAACCTCCAGAAGTTGCCCTGGGGAAGAAAGTATTGAGCATCTCTCTCAGTGTGGTCCCCCCAAAACTTGAGTCTAAGACTTATTGCTCTGCTCCTCCTGTCCTTTGAAGATGAAACCTAATATTCTTGGTTACAACCAGGCCTGAAGGAGAAAGCAGGCATGGTCAAGGGCTTGCCTAGGAACTCTCCGCTAATGACAGCTGAAGGGCAACAATTCCTAGGTGCTGGCGCTTAACTCTACACATGGACAGGGTTCTCCATCTCTATCAAGGCTATTTTATCCTCACAGCAAACTGTGGGAAGTATTAGACCCAAACTTTATATATTCCTCTCAGTGGAAGTGGTAGAAACAATATTTTCCAACCACAATATAATAAATCTTGAAATTAGCAATAATGTACCTGGAAATTTTTAAATATTATTTTAATTATTGAGTCAAAGAGAAAGTGCAAATCAAAAATTTAAATACCTAGTCTAAGGCACATGCCTGGGTTGCAGGCCAGGTCCCCAGCAGGGTGCACACAAGAGGCAACCACACATTGATGTTTCTCTCTTGCTCTTTCTCCCTCTCCATCTCTAGAAGTAAATAAATAAAATCTTAAAAAAAATTTAAGTATCTAGGAAATAACGATAATAATAATATATTTTTAAAAATACATCAGAGCCCTGGCCGGGTAACTGAGTTGGTTAGAGCTTCATCCTGATACACCAAGATTGTGGGTTTGATGTCTGGTCAGAGCACATATCAGAATCAGCCAATGAATGTGTAAATGAGTGACACAACAAATTGATGTTTCTCTCTCTTTTCCTCTCTCTCTAAAATCAATTAAAATAAAACAATGTATCAGAAACTAAAGATAAAGCTAAACAGAAAATTGAAGAGCTGTTTAGAGAAGAATATAAAGTCTTAATTACATTAATAAATGACAGAGAACAAAACAGATGGATGAATTAAAAATTCAAGGTTTAAGAAAATATTTAAAGAAAACAGAATTAAGGAATTAACCCATATAAAATAAAAATAAAAGGCTATGTTCCTGTAGCTGAGAGAATTCCTCTGATCATGATTAAATTTCTGCTTTAGTCGGATATATCCATACCATTTTTTTTCTCCAACTTTCTTGACGCTGTTTTCTCAGGACATTTTATTTAGGTGAACTTATCCCATTGGCATTTATAGATATGACTTAGTTCTGTATCACATTTTATGACCTACTTTATTTTTTTAAAGACTGGTTTCTTTCTCTAGAGGTTGTCTATTTCTTTAGTTTGTTTTTTGCATGTACCTTCTGGTAATTTTTCTGTAGGAAGGTTTGTATTCTGTTTTTAGCTCTTCCAGTGAGTAGCTTTATACTATAACTTTCTTTTAATGATGAGATAGAGACAGACAGACAGAGACATCAATTTGTTGTTCCACTTATTTATGCTTCCATTGGTTGATTCTTGCATGTTGTCCTGACCTAGGATTGAATCTCCAACTTTGGCATATCAGGACAGTGCTCCAACCAACTGAACTACCTGACCAGGGCTGTATTATACTTATAAAAATGTACTTTATTTCTTTAGACCATATGATAAAATTATTATACTTCAATTCATCCCATTTTCTTTATTCCACCCAATTTTAATCAATGTATTATTATGATTAGTTCTTCCGGTGATCATTTCTATACTTTGGGATATATTTCTATCTCTGTAATTTGATTTATTAAATGTAAATATTATTTTTAGACTTCGGATGGTAAAGATAAGGAAATCAACATCTTTTTGCCACATGCCATCTTCTTATTTGTCCCTTCTTGATTTTTGTTAATTTTATTACTTTTACTAGTATAGTTTATAGTAGTAACATTCTAAACAATATACAGTATTGCTTAAGAGAATGAGCTCTGGAACCCGACTGCCTAGATGGAATGTTGGTATTATCATTTTGTAACTGTGTGACCTTGAGCAGGTTACTTAGCAGATACTTGTTTCCTTATTTTTATAGTGGTTGTAACAATAGATTCTATGGCTATAACAGGGATATTGTCATGATATTAAAAGTATAGCACTGGCACAGTGCCTGACACATAGTAAGCATCTAGTAAGTATCAGATATTCTATTTAACTTTTGTTAAGAAATAGATTCCCAGAGTGATTTTTATCCCAGTCCTCCATTTCAAGGGGCATCCATGTTTAGTTTCTCCATTCACTTTTTGGTTGCTTGAAATTCATTCTCTAATAGTTCAAGAGACGTTATTAGGTGTTATATTTTCTGATCCTTATATTTTCAAAAACTTTTGATGCCTTTTACTTGAAAGAAAGTTTGACTGTCTTAAATAATCATTGCTATTACTGAACACTTATTATCTATTGAGGTCTTATTTTGAACTGTTTGATTAAGTCCTTTGAATTCATACCGATGTTTGTTCTGCTACAGGGCAGCATTTTTCTGGAAGCTTTAATTATCTGAAACTTGATTTTTCTACTCCTTTGCTCCATTTTCTTGTAAATTTGTTGTGCAGATCTCATGCTTATTTTCTTTTGATTATTACTCATTACTGAGAATTTTTGGATACAATCGGGGCAGTGAACTGAGCCTGTAGTGAAGCTTCTGTGCCCAGAGTTTGTGTGTGTGTTGTGTGTGTCTGCAAAAGAAAACAGGTGAGACAGAAAGACAAAGACACTCACACAGATTGGTTCAGCCTGTGTATCTCCGTAGCAACTACAGAGATGCTCATGATATAGTGTTTTCCAACCCCTATTTCATTAACAGACTACTACCCCCAGCATGGATAATGATTTAAGGATTTCTGTCACTGAACACTACCTTGCCCTGCTACTTCATGATGCCAAATATAGTCCTTGGAAGTTCCTACAGCTGTGCCCCTTGAACCTTCACTGCAAACAGGGTGGTGGTTCTCCCAGTTGTACCACCTATGCCGTGTTTGGCCAACTTTGTCTGAGGATTGAAGTCACAGGAGATATTTAATCTTAGCATGCTTCTGGACGGTGGTGTAATTTTCACTGAATTTGGCAGGCCATCCTCATTTATTGCATCTTAGGGTTACATTAGTACCTCCTTTTATCAAAGATAGAGTTGGCATTTCTTTTTTAAAATTTTATTTCTTTTTTCCTTTTTATTGAATTTATTGGGGTGACACTGGTTAACAAAATTCTGCAGGTTTTAGGTGCACAGTTCCACAACACATCCTCTGTACACTGTATCATGGGTTCACCACTCCCAGTTTATTTCTTGTTTTTGGATGATCTCAAGGATGACAGAGGTAACTTTATTTTGTTATTTTAAAACCTTTTGGTACCTTAAACTTTATTTTTCAATTTATTTTAAAACCAGAGCTTTTTAAAAAAATAGAGTGTACCTATTCTTGGAGAGTAGGTAACATACCACCTCAGACCATGTTAAGTGGGAAAAAGTTTCAAAACTCTGTGTACATCCTATTCAAAACAAGGTCTGTCATCATCACATTGCTAGTAAGGAACAGAGCTTGGATTCAAATCCAAGTCCGTCCATATCCAAAGCCAGAGTTCTTTTTATTGTGGAACCTTCTCTTAAAGAATATAGATATCTCTTTGTGGTGTCTTTATTATGTTTCTTCTTGTGAACATTTTTCTCTTAACTACTTATGTCCTGTTTTTAGTGTGACAAGTACAAGACTGGCGTTATTGACGGACCTGCATGTAACAGCCTTTGTGTTACAGAAACTCTCTACTTTGGAAAATGCTTGTCCACCAAGCCCAGCAATCAGGTATGGACATTATGAATAAACATTCCAAATTGATGGTACACTCTAATTTAACCTTAAACTAAAGCATTATTAAAATAATTCTTGAATCAGAGCTTTAGGATGCTTTATATATTTCAATTTTGTGTGCTTTGATTCAGTCATCCCACAGATGTTTATTAATCCCCTATTCCGTATTCCAGGCACTGTTTCAGTTGCTAAGACTGCAATGGTGATGAAGATAGATAGGATTACTTCCCTTATGGATCTTACATGATTCCAGAGATGTGGGGAATATAACTGGTTTATAGATAAGTAGATGAGCAACATAATTACAGATTGTGGTATGTTTTATAAGGATGTTTAAATCAAATTGATGGAGTGCAGGGGACAGGGATGGTGGAGATGTGCTTTGGAGGAGGTGATCAGGGGAGACCTTTCTAAGATAGCATTAATGAAAAATTAACATACAGGCATTAGCAAAGGACAGGATGAGCTAAGTCACAAAAGAAGAACTATAAGTAACTGATAAACATAATGAAAAGAAAATGTTCTGCCCTGGCTGGTGTGGCTCAATGGCTTGAGCACCGGCCTGCGACCTGAGAGGTTGCCAGTTAGATTCCCAGTCAGAGCATATGCCTGGGTTGCAGGCCAGGTCCCCAGCTGGGTGTGTGTGAGAGGCAACCAAACCTCTCACACATTGATGTCTTCCTTCCTTCTTTCCTTATTTCCTTCCTTCTTTCCCTCCTTCCTTCCTTCCTTCCTTCCTTCCTTCCTTCCTTCCTTCCTTCTTTCCTTCCTTCCTTCCTCCCTTCTTTCCTTCCTTCCCTTTCTCCCTTCCTTCCCTTCTTTCTGAAAGTAAATAAAATGAAAATATCTTTAAAAACTTTTAAAAATGTTCTACATTACTTATCATCAAAGAAACAAATTAGAACAGTAGAATACTATTGGGCTAGAAGAAACTATAACAAACATCAACACTGATTATCCTTGGGCAGTGGAATATTACACAATTTTTAAGGTCATGTTTTTTCTTTATATTATTTCTAAGTTTCCAAGTTTGAAATATATTTCAAATTTATAATGCTAACAATGTTTAAGAGCATTTCTGAAACAAAATTGAACATGTGAATAACTACTACATGATAGTAATTATTCATTAAGGCATTGGAAGAGACCATGGAGAACAAGACAGATAAAGCCTCTGGCATCCTGTGCCTTAAATTTCATGTGAAAGAAGAGATAATAAATGAGTCATTAACTTAACAAATAAGGTCATTTTCAGACAGTGCTAAAGGCTGTAAAGAAAATAAAACGGGCTAATGGGTTAGAGTGTCCTGAGATGGAGGAGGGATCCATTCTAGACAGGTGGTTAGGGAAGGCCTGTCTAAGGTAATGCCTGATCTGGGACTCAGAACATGTGAAGGAACTGACTGCATGAAGATCTGTGAGTTCATTCCAAGCAGAACCAAGAGCAAATGAAGCAGGCCATGAAACAGAAATAAGGTTGGTAGGTTCAAGGAACAGAAAGAAGACCACTATAGCTGGGATATAGGGATCCAGGTATACATGGTACAAAATCATATTAGAGAATAAGGCCAGGCCAGCTCATATGGAAAGGACTTTGGACTTTATTCAAATTGTATTAGAGGGTTTGAAGCAGGGGAGTGATATAGTCTGCTTTATTTGGATTAATATTATTACTGACTAATTTGTTTTTATATATAAGCACGAATGCACTGCCTGGGCTCAAATGCTGGCTTTGCCACTATGGTGCTACCTTCAACATGCTAGGTACACAATAGTGTTACCTTCACATCTCTCTGCTTCAGTTTTCCATCAGGAAATTGAGAATACTAACAATATATACTTTATAGTGCTGTTATAAGGAGTAAAATAATAAAATAAATTAGTAGACCAGAGTATATAGTAAGCACCGTATAATGTTAGTTTGATAAACAGTAGATAGTTAATAGCGACTAATTCTTGGCTGTGGGATTAGGGAAATGGATATAGCAGGACTTTGCCTTTCATCCTTTTGTGTAATTTGACTTTTTAAAAATTGTATTTGTAGCTATAAACATTTATATTAAGAAACAAAGGTCTCAAATAACTTTGCTTTACAACTTAAGGAACTAGAAAAGAACAACTAAACTCAAAGCTAACAAAAGGAAAGAAATAATGTGGATTATAGTAGAGCTAAAAGAAATAAAGAATAGAAAAACATTAGAGAAAGTCAATGAAACCAAAAGTTGGTTCTTTGAAAATATCAGCAGATTTAGTTCCGGCCGAGATGGAGGCATTAGGTACATATGCATTGCCTCGTCACACAGCCAATTTAAAAACAAAAAACAACCAGAACTGCCAGAAAATCAAACTGTGTGGAAGTCTGACAACCATGGAGTTAAAGAAGAAACATTCATCCAGACTGGTAGGAGGGGCAGAGACAGGAAGCCAGGGAAGACAGGATGTGCAGCAAGGCAGCAGCTGGTGCACTGGGTGGGTGAGGTGCTGGTGGCTGGTGGACCAGGTGGTCCCATATTCATGTGCGGATAAAACGGGAGGAACAACTGGGGAGCGAGACATACAGCACAACCCAGGGTTCCAGGGCCAGGAAAACAAAGTCTCAGAACCTCTGGCTATAGTAACCTGGGGAGGGGTATTGTGGCAGTGGGAGTCTCTTGAAAGAGGGGTGAGACCCAAGCAAGCAGTATTGCTCCCTCTCTGACTCCTCCCCGACATACAGCACTACAACACAGTAAAGTGAGTTGCCCCGCCCTGGCAAATACATAAGGCTCTGCCCTTACAACATAACAGGTGCACTGAGACAAAGAAATATGGCCCAAATGAAAAAAACAGTTCAAAACTCCAGAAGAAGTTCTAAGCAACAGTAGATAGCCAACCTATCAGATGCAGAGTTCAAAACACTGGTAATCAGGATGCTCACAGAAATGACTGAGTACAGCTGCAAAATGAAGGAAGAAGTGAAGGCTATTCAAAGTAAAATGAAGAAAAATATACAGGCAACCAACAGTAAGGGGAAGGAAACTGGGACTCAAATCAATGATTGGGAAGGAAGAGATATAAACATTCAACCAGAACAGAATGAAGATACAAGAATTCAAAAAAATGAGGAGAGGCTTAGGAATCTCTGGAACAACTTTAAATGTTCCAACATCCAAATCATAGGGGTGCCAGAAAGAGAAGAGGAAGAGCAAGAAATTGAAAACTTATTTGCAAAAACAGTGAAGGAGAACTTCCGCAATCTGGCAAAGAAACTAGACATGCAAGTCCAGGAAGCTCAGAGAATCCCAAAGAAGTTGGATCCAAGAAGATACACACCAAGACACATCATTATTAAGTTGCCTGAGATTAAAGATGAGAGAATCTGAAAAGCAGCAAGAGAAAAGGAGACAGTTACTTACAAGGGAGTTCCCATGAGACTATCAGCGGATTTCTCAAAAGAAACCTTACAGGCAAGAAGGGGCTGGAAAGAAGTATTCAAAGTGATGAAAAGCAAGGACCTACTACCTAGATTCCTCTATCCAGCAAATTTATCATTTAGAAAGGAAGGGCAGATGAAGTGCTTACTAAAAAAAGATAAAGCTAAAGGAGTGCATCATCACCAGGCCCTTATTATACAAAGTGTTAAAGGGACTTACCTAAGAAAAAGAAGAAGATTAAAATTATGAACAGTAAAATGACCAGAAACTTGCAACTATTAACAACTGAACCTAAAAACACAAAAACAAAAACAAACTAAGCAAAGATCTAGAACAGGAACAGAATCACAGAAATGAAGTTCACATGGAGGTTTATCAGTAGGGAGGGGGAAGAATGGGGTAAAAGGTATAGGGAATTGGAAGCATAATTGGCAGGTACAAAATAGGGGGAGGTTAAGAATAGAATAGGAAATGGAGAAGCCAATGTACAACCCATGGACATGAACTAAGGGGAGAAAAAAGAATGGGACAACTGCAATAGCATTAGCAGTAAAGTATACTTAAAGAAAGAAAATGTCAACAAACTTTTAGCTAGATGGTCTTAAGAAAAAAAGAAGACTCAAATTGTTAAAATCAGAAATGAAGGGGGAACATTACTAGTGATTCTATAGTACTATGAACAATTGTACACCAATAAGTTGGATAACCTAGATGGGCAAATTTCTATAAACACAAAACTTACCAAGAAATAGGAAATCTGAATAGACATATATATATACCTAGTAAGGAGACTGTCAGTAGTCAAAGTCTCCTAACAAGAAAAACCCTGGACCTGCTTGTTTCACTGGTGAATTCTACCAGGCATTTAAAGAATTAACACCAGTCCATCTCAAACTTTTCCAAAAACACTGAAGATACCCTGATTGATCAGTGTGGCTCAGTTGGGCATCATCCCGCAAAGGAAAAGGTCTGGTTTGATTTCGGTTAGGGCACATGCAGGTTTGGTCCCCAGTTGAGGCACATAGGAGAGGCAACTGATCGATGTTTCTTCATGTATCAGTGTTTCTCTCCTTCTCTTTCTCCCTCCCATCCCCTCCCTAAGAATAAGTAAATAAAAATTTAAAACTTGAAGAGGAAGGTATACTTTCTAACTCACCCTTTAGGCCAACATTACCGACACCAAAGCCATATAAAGACATTGCAAGAAAACAGATCAGCATCCCTTCCAAAGAGTGATGCAGAAATCCTCCACAAAATAATAGCAAACCGAATTCAGCTGTGTATTAAAAAGGATCATACACCCTGATTGAGTGGAGTTTATTCCTGGAATTTGGGGAGGGTTCAACATAGGGAAATTGATCAATGTAATACACCACCTTAACAGAATGAAGGAAAAAGAGAAGGACCATCTTAAAAAAAAAAAAAAGATTTTATTTACTTCTTAGAGAGAGGGGAAGGGAGGGAGAAAGAGAGGGAAAGATCAATGTGTGAGAGATAAATCAATTGGTCGACTCTTGCACGCCCCCCAACTGGGCACCAGGCCTACAACCCTGGCATGTGCCCTGACTGGGAGTTGAACATGCTACCTTTTGGTTCGCAGGCTGGCACTTAATCCACTGAACCACACCAGCCAGGGCAAGAAGGATCATCTTGATTGGCGCAGAACAAGTATTTGACACAATTCAACACCCTTTCATGATAAGAACAGTCAACAAATTAGGAATAAAAGGCAACTAACTACCGTAACATAGTAAAACCCCTATATGAAAAAAACCACCTGAAGCTAACATCATACTCAATGGTGAAAGACTGAAAGCCTTTCCTCAACGATCAGGAACAAGATGAAGATACCCACTTTTGCCACTTCTATTCAACAAAATACTAGAAGTTCTAGCCACTAGCCAGATTGATTAGACAAGCAAAAGAAATACTGGGTTGGCAAAAAGTTTGTTTGTTTTCTGTAAGTTGGCTGTAGTGACACTTAGTTGTCTTTAACTTCATTTGAAACAGTTTTGTTAGATTGCATTTTGATAGCTGTTATATCAGCATGTATTAAAAAATATCAAAATTGGTGAATTTTTGTGTAGCCATTTTAATATTGAAGATGGAAGACAATACACATTTTCAGCATATTATGCTTTATTATTTCAAGAAAAGTAAAGTGCAACAAATGCATAAAAAGATTTGTGCAGTGTATGGAGAAGGTGCTGTGACTAATTGAATGGGTCAAAAGTGGTTTGCAAAATTTTGTGCTGGAGATTTCTCACTGGATGATGTTCTACAGTTGGGTAGACCAGTTGAAGTTGATAGTCATCAAATTGAGACACAAACTGAGAACAATCAACGTTATACTGCATGAGAGATAGCAAACATACTCAGAATATCCAAATCAGGAAAGTTATTGGTGAAAATGGGAAAACGTGTCTTTTATTTTATAGGAAAAATCATATTGACTTTTTGACCAACCCAATAGAAGGCATCCAAATTGGAAAGGAAGAAGTAAAATTATCTCTGTTGACAAATGATATGATCTGGTGTAGAAAAACCTAAAGATTCCACACAAAAAAAAATTGTTAGAGCTAGTAAGTGAATTCTGCAAAGCAGCACAAAACAAAGTCAGCACACAAAATTCAATTGAATTTGTATAAAAATGAACTAACATTGAACTGTCCAAAAAGGCAATTAAGAAAACCATTCTGTTTATGTAGTATCCAAAAGAATACTTAGTAATTAACTTAACCAGGGAAGTGAAAGGCTTGTACAATGAAAACTTCTGAAATAAATTAAAGACAAACAAATGGAACACATCCCGCATTCATGGTTGGAATACTGAATATCAAGTTGTTAATATTACCCAAAGTAATCTCCAAAGTAATGAAATCCCTATTAAAATTCCAATGACAATTTTTACAGAAATAGGAAAACCTATCCTAAAATTCATATGGCATCTCAAAGGACTCTGAATAGCCAAAACAATATAGAAAAAGTAGTACAAAACTGGAGGACTCATACTCGTGATTTCAAATCTTACTGTAAAGCTACAATAATTAAAACAGAGTGTTACTGGAATCAGGACCGATATATAAATCAATGGACTAGAACAGAGAACTTAGAAAAAGGTCTCACATATATGACCAAATGGTTTTTGACAAAGGTGCTAAGACCATTCAATTGGGAAAGGACTGTCATCAACAGAAAATAATGAGGGTGATGAGGATGTAGAGAAATTGGAACCCTTGTGCACTGTTGGTGGGGATGTAAAATGATACAGCCACTGCAGAAAACAGCATGGCAGTTCCTGGAGAAAAAAAAAAAAATGAATGACCTTATGATCCAGCAATTCCATGTCTGAGTATATACTTAAAAGAATCGAAAGCAGAATCTTGAAGAGGTACTTGACACCTGTGTTTATGTCAACATTGTTCACAACAGTTAAAACATGGAAGCATCTCGTGTCCATTGGCAGATGACTAGAAATCCAAAATATGATACACTTATAAGAGAATATTATTCAACTTTAGAAAGGAAGGAAATTCTGACATGTGCTACAATATGGATGAATCTTGAGGACATAATGCTAAGTGAATTAAGGCAGTTACAAATTCTGTGCAATTCTATTTATATGAGTGAGTAGTCAAAATCATAAAGACGGAAGGTGAAATGGAAGGAAAGGGGTAACAAGGAGTTATTTAATGGGAATAGAGCTTCCATTTTACAAGATGAAAAAACATCTGAAAAGGATAGTGGTGATGGTAGCACAACTTCATTAATGTCATACCACTGAACTGTACACTAAAAAATAGTTAAAGTGGCACATTTTATGGTTTTGAAGTTTTACCACAATAGTAAAAAATGGAAAAATGAAGTTGGCAATTATGGCAAAAAATACATATATTTAGGCATACATTACTTCTATAATTTAAAAAATTAAGGAAAAAAGCTTTAGAGTATGATTTTCAGTTTGCAGTGCAAAAAGACAGTCACAGTCTCAGTGCTTTGTTGCTTGTTTATGTGTGCTTTTAGGGGACGAGGACACTGAAAATATAGTGGTAGAGTTTTCTACTCAGCCTAAATCATAACTTGCCATTCTTTTTCACATAGATGTATTTAGGGATTTGGGATAATCTACCAGGGGTTGTGAAATGTCAAATGGAACAAACACTTCACCTTGATTTTGGAACGGAATTGGAACCAAGAAAAGAAATAGTGTTATTTGATAAACCAACTAGGGGAACTACTGTACAGAAATTCAAAGAAATGGTCTACAGCCTCTTTAAAGTAAGTATCCATTCACATGTTGCTAGTGTGAAGGGGTAAACTCTTCTGGATGAATCGGCAGGACCTCATCCTAAACCACAAAAGTGTTGCTATTCTTTGATCTGTATCAGGGACTCTGTCTTGAGAGAAGTAATCCAAAGAAAAGAAAAATGTGTGGGAGATGTTTATCTTAACATTATAATAGCTAAAAATGTTCAGATATGAGAGGGGAGTTTATGAAACAGGCTGCTCTATAGTTTGACATTGTAACTCATACAATTTTTTTAAAAAAATGAAATAAAATTAGTACACCTGATATGCAAATTATTTTTTAAAAATTTAAAGAAATACTCCAGAAATTAACCAGAAATATTAAAAAATGAAAATAATTAGCTTTGGAAAGAATCCTTTTTTTTTTTCATTTTAATTGCTTTTAATATTTTCACTCATAATCTTTGTTTTCTCTGGACAGTTTACATTTTTGGACTCTTTTATCCCAGAGAAACTTCACAGGGAATTACTTTTTAACCTTCCTTATTGGAACAATGTAACTCAAAAATTGTTATAGTGATAGCTATAAAATAGAAAGTAATTTTCAGTTGATCCTTCTTATAACTGGATATCAGCACATTACACTGCAATTTTGCAAGTAAATGTATCAGTAAGACAAAATAATTATGTAGTGTCTTGGTTAACTGTATTTATGCAGAGTGTATGCAGGTTTTGGGACTTAGGATGGCCATTTCTTAACAAGCAGACTTAGCCATGTTTTACTGCAATTACTCAAAACATAGTTCTGCCCTGGCCAGGTACTCAGTTAGTTGTAGCATTGTCCTGGTCACCAAAAGATTGCACGTTAGATCGCTGGTCAGGGCACAGGGCACATACCTAGATTGCGGGTTTGATCCCTAGTTGGGGTGTGTGTATGGGCATGCGGGAGGCAACCAATGGATGTTTCTGTTTCTCTCTTTCTCTCTCTCTCCCCCTATTCCTCCTATCAAATCAGTAAACATATCTTGCGGTGAGGAAAAAAAAAAGTTCTGGCTCATTCAGCAAGCTTCATAAATATTTGCAGATGTTTTAAGGGATTCAGTAGCAGTATTACTTAGCGTGGTAATAACTGCCATAATGGAAATTAATATATTTTTCATTCCGTTTAATTAGCTAAAATCTTATCTTTACAGGCAAAATTGGGTGACCAGGGAAATCTGTCTGAACTGGTTAATCTCATCTTGACAGTGGCTGATGGAGACAAAGATGGCCAGGTTTCTTTGGGAGAAGCTAAGTCAGCATGGGCACTTCTTCAATTAAATGAATTTCTTCTCATGGTGATTCTTCAAGATAAAGAACATACTCCCAAATTAATGGGATTCTGTGGCGATCTCTATGTAATGGAAAGTGTTGAATATACCTCTCTTTATGGAATAAGCCTTCCATGGGTCATTGAACTTTTTATTCCATCTGGGTTCAGAAGAAGTATGGATCAGTTATTCACACCATCATGGCCCAGAAAGGCTAAAATAGCCATAGGACTTCTAGAATTTGTGGAAGATGTTTTCCATGGCCCCTATGGAAACTTCCTCATGTGTGATACTAGTGCCAAAAACCTAGGATATAATGATAAGTATGATTTGAAAATGGTGGACATGAGAAAAATTGTGCCAGAGACAAATCTGAAAGAACTTATAAAGGATCGTCACTGTGAGTCTGATCTGGATTGTGTCTATGGCACGGATTGTCGAACTAGCTGTGATCAGAGTACAATGAAGTGCACTTCAGAAGTGATACAACCAAACTTGGCAAAAGCCTGTCAGTTACTCAAAGACTACCTACTGCGTGGTGCTCCAAGTGAAATTCGTGAAGAATTAGAAAAGCAGCTTTATTCTTGTATTGCTCTCAAGGTCACAGCCAATCAAATGGAAATGGAACATTCCTTGATACTAAATAACCTAAAAACATTACTGTGGAAGAAAATTTCCTACACAAATGACTCTTAGTTCATTTTCACATTGTGACCATTGTCGGAAACTTAACACTTAGAAAATTTTAAGCATTTTAAAGAAGGCTTCTGATTCAAATCCTTGTTACACAAAACTTCTTTTCCCTGGTCCTGACACGCCATCATCTAGAAGTGTCAACTGATGATGCAATGGCAGAAGGTATAGGACCAATAGGTCCAAAAAGATTTCATTCCTGCTCTTTCAGAAGCCGTGGTACATTTTCCAGTACGTTCACTGTGTAACTATTTTGACTGACTGAAAATAATGCTGTGAAGCCTCATTCCATAAACATCAACAGTGAGAGTATTTTGTAGATTTGTTAGCCAAAATACCACTGCTGAAAACATTGTTTGCATTGAAGCTGCTCTTTAAAATTTATAAATTTACTAATGTCTTAGCATGGTGAAGTTTGCACATTAACAGAAATGAAGTCTGCAAAACAGATAAATTAAAATTACTCATTTATAAACATGTGAATAGTATGCTTTGTTGTATTGGACTTAAAATATGTTACAACTCAGACACCAGACCATGTGGCTTCAGAATGTTTTTTGAGAGGCTATTCCTTAGCCTCTGAAAATTCAAAATCTTATCGAGTGTTCTACTTAGCAACATGTTAATTGCCACTTTTAGAAAATGGATGAGCTTTCCATCTCAGACTCAAATGGTTCATTTTGGTATCAACCAGCCAACTGAGTCCTTCAAAAATGACCATCTTAAGGCCACAGACCCAATCCAGATCCATGTATCTTGAATTTTTGAGTTATAGAGAAATGCCACAGTAAGGACTCTTAGGTCTTAACATTTTTAGTGATGACATTTCAAACAGTATTTCCTATTGGTCAAAGGGCTATTTTTAGAGGCATGTAAACTAGATATACAAAAGATTTGCTCCTCTTTTGTGATTTTCGTATTTGTTCAGATCTGGATGTATCTTTCAACATGTCCATAAAATGAAACACCTTTTAAAGACTAGTTCTTTTCTGCTCAGATTTCACCTGATTAAAGTATCTTAGTTATGTGACCTTCCCTGGATGGCTTTCTCTCAAAAATTAAAGCCATGGGTTAGCACCAGTTTTGTTTACTTTAAAATTACATACTTTGATGGTACCTATTCTTCCCATGGATCATCTGGTCACAATAAATGAATTAAATATTTTCTAGTGGAAGATTGGTATGTTGCTTGCCAGACTTTTAAGGGAGAGCTGTACACCATACAATGTGAGGGATAACATGTCAGGGAGAACAGAAGCCCAATGAGCAGGTGTGAACTCTTGAGTCACATGCAAGACATCTTTTTCTGGAAAAAGCTATACTTGTTTCTTGAAGAAAAATACTATCAATTTCAGGGTATTTCCTACAGTTTCATTAACAAGAGCTTAACACAGAAACAGCTGCTTGTTTAATAAATTTATTGGAAAAATCTTCACAGAAAATTGTGGTTTGGTTTATTAGCTTTCAGCAGCCCGCTCCTGAGCTCTGAGGAAGCTTGCTTTCTTCTGAGCTACCCGATCTTTCTTCTGGGCAAGAGACATTTTGGGACGATTCCACCTATAAAACAAAAGATAGGAATGTTATGTTTAAAAACCACAACTAACAAGTATAGAGAATATTTAACTTAGTTTGTAAAAGACAAAAACTTTGTAGTAAGATTTCTAAAATACATGCATTATTATTTTAAGCTAACTTTCCAAAACCCCAACTTTTGTGATACTGTCCTTTTACCACACTGCCAAAAATCAAATAAACACGTTAGTATAATGTTTAGAATTGTTCAGTATTAACAATAACTGGTAGTTACACTGTACTGGGATAGAATGGACCACCTCAGTAGCTTCTGAGGCCGATACATTTCTTTCACCAAAACTACTTTAGCAAACCTGGTTCCCTTCACTTCTGCAACATCATGCAGAGTCAGTGATCGAGTTTGCACTTGACTCAAGAGTCTGAGTTAGACGAAACAAGACAGGGAACCCCTGCCAACTCTTTCCCTTGAAAAGACAACAGTACGTTGCATACCTCTTCTTTTTAACTTCTCTCTTAGGTTTCTTCTCATAGACTGGATTCTCTCGTATAGCAGCATGAGCTTTCTTATACATATCCTCCATCTGAGACAAAGCAAAGCAAACAGTACTTGGTTTCATTTCATATGCCCTAAACAATAATACAATAGACTGCAATCTCTTACGTGCTCAATTTTGTCTTTCTAAGCCAGATTTGTAAAAGACACGAGACTAGGTCAGCGTTGCTATCTGCTTAAATTTCTAAATTTCTTTTCCTAAGAAATTCCTAATATTTACCATACGGAATGTGAGTTGACATATTATTTTCATAAAAGAAAAATGTGTATGCATTTCTGAGGGCTTCTATACTTTTTAAGTCATTCAGGCTGAGAGCAAATTGATTTCTGTAGAAATACATTTTATGCTCATTTAAAATACTGTCTGACCTAAATCCTATCATTTAAGGGAGGATACACGCCAAAACAGTTTTTAAGATGTTAAAAGAGTGTTTGGATGGTAAACAATATACAGTGATGTAGAATTGTATACCTCAAACCTATTTAATTTTATTAACCAATGTCACCCCAAATTAAAAAAAAAATACTGAGTATATGGGGCTGCCCTGGCTGGGTAGCTCAGTTGGTTAGTGTCATGCTGATATGCCAGGATTGCAGGTTCAATCCCTGGTCGGGGCACATGAAAGAATCAACCAATGAATGCATAAATAAGCGGAACAATAAATCAATGTTTCTCTCAAACCAATACATTTTTTTAAAGAGTATATGAGCCCCGACTGGTGTGGCTCAGTGGACTGAGTGCAAGCCTGTGACCCTAAAGGTCACCAGTTAAGAGTCTCAGGGCACATGCCTAGGTTGCAGGCCAGGTCCCCAGTTGGAGGTGCATGAGAGACAACCACACACTGATGCTTCTCTCCTTCTCTTCCCTCCTTCCCTCTGAAAATAAATAAAATCTTTAAAAAAAAAAGTATATGAGGCCAATTAGCAATTGCCAAGTTAATTTGTCCTCTTACATTCCCCAGATTTACATTTTCCATTGATATCTGACAGGCCTTTCAAAGCCATTCCTGATTTCACATTTCAGGGACCTCTTACATCTACTACTATTACAAGTCACTAGTTTCTGGCAGCAATATTGGGCTTCTGGAACCAGAAAGGTCAGAATTTCTCCAGAAAGGCCATCCAATTAGATATCTTAATGAAAATTTTGTTCTAAAATGTATTAAAAAAACCACAATGTTGCAACTCCCTAAATTATTTCAATTACTACCCCCAAGTACAGCTGACCCTTGAACAATAGAGGTTTGAACTATGCAGGTCCACTCACAGATCTTTTTTCAATCGATATACAGTTGGCCCTCAATATCCCTGGGTTTTCTATTTGTGAATCAAAAAACTTATTTTTGATTCACAGGGGGCAGCTGCAGTAGCTTTGGGGGAGTCAAAAGTTTTATGTGGACTTTTGACTCTGTATGTGTTCGCAAGGTGCCCCTGACTCTCATACTGTTCAAGAGTCAACTGTAAGTGACTTGATCCTGTGCAAGATCATTCATGAAGAGCAGTTGTAAAATGCCCGAGTATTCACCATCAAAACTGGTAAAAATTACAGCATCCTAAAGTATGAGTCAGGTAATCTAGGTCTCTAAAATTATTCAACGTGGAGAGAGTGTGATTGCTACACGCATTTTTGTAAAGCTTAGTGAAGGGAAACAGTGCAAAATTTTTCACCACATGGTGACCTCAATTACCCAAATCCCTTCTGAAAGTTAATTTCTCTACCTCTTTTAGCACTCTATCACAGTTCTCCACTGTACTTAACAAACCCATTTAATCACTTCACATGTAGACATTAAAAAAAACCAAAAACTAAGCAACTCAGTTCATTCCTTCTGAGAGATCAGACAAACGGGAAATAACAACTGGTTATGTAGATGCTATGAGTTTTAGGTAAAGACCACTTCCTATTTGGAGACATACCAGGTGTCTGCATAGGACTTCAGTATGCATGCATAAGGAAAGATGCTTCCACAGATAAAATTAATGAGCTAGCTAGAAAGTACATGAGCCTAAGAGTAGTCCTGGCTGAAGCACAGGATCTATAAGCAAGCATTAAGGAACAGACATCAGAAAACAGCCTGAGAGTTTAAAACATCTTGAGCATATAGGATTATGACCAGAGGAAGAATGGCTTAGGGAGAAGAATTTTGCAGGTCAAGTAGAATCAGTCAAAACAGACCTTTTTAGCAGGGTGAATGAGGACAGTATCAGTAGTAATCTAAGGGAACATACACCTGTGTAAATAGATGTATCTACACAGCTAATATAAAACTACCTTTTTCCTAGTTCAAAACTCAACATATGTGTTTATCCTGCCCTAGACTATGTATGGTACAAAGCATACAAATAACAAGGTAATCTTTTTACAGTAACTCTTTTAAAAATAATTTTCATAACCAAAACTAGGCCAAAAATAGAAGCTATGCACTAACAGAAAACAATTACTTAATACATATCCCATTCATTTATATTTGTAACAGTTTCACAGTAATCAGTGTGATTTTTTTCTTATACTTTTCACTACAATTTCAAAACTAGTGCTATTACCAATTACTCCAAAGTGTTCATAGAGGTATCCATGGAGACTCAACTTTAGGGGAGATTAATTTTCCAACATTAAACTCATTTTTGCAAATATAACTTCCCTTTACTTCTTCAACATCATGCAGAACTATGTTAGAATCTGTACATCTCCATTTCTGTGTGTATGCCTGAGACATTCATAAAGTCCAGAACATAGACTTGTTTGCCATGAAGAACGTTTCTTCCCCATGGTGTCAAAATGAATTAAGTTTAATAACTAGCAGCTCAGAACAGACAGGGTAGCTATGACCACAGGAATGAAATCTTTTAAACCAGAACAACCAAATGCATAAAAGCCACCAAAGGCTTTAGATTTGGATGCTTACAACCTGCCACTGTTCAGCATCTAAGATTCCTGAAAGCACACTCACAAGTCTAGCCCATTATACTACCTTATCCTCTAACCTACCCTGGGTTCATGCCATTTCATTTTAAGCCAAATACAGCTTATGAGTCTGCCTGTATGTATGAACATACCCACATTCTACTTTTAACCATTAACCTAAAATAAAAACTATATAATGTATCCACCAAAAAACAAACAGTAAACTGGATTTCAAATAAAATTTTTACCATGTCTGGAGTCACATTGTTCTTTATGTATTGAGAGAATTGTTTCTTGTAAGCATCTTCATCTTCTTCCATTAGGTAACGCATATAATCTGCCACATTCTGACCCATGATATGCTTCCGATGCACTTCTGCATTGAATTCCTTGCTTTCTGAATCATAACCGGGGAATCGTTTGGTACTAAAATAAAATATTTCACATTTTAGTATATACTAATGGAAATCAGTTCACTAGCAGGAATTCATTTCAGTAGCTGCCATCAGTCCCGTCTTGAAACAATTGCATCATAAGCAACCAAAGGACCAACTACTGACTGCTCAGTTGGTGGGATATCATCATTCAGCAGCTAATCTCTGAATTCCAGGGCAGAAAACCATACCACAAGTACCTTTAAAAACAATTAAATGAACCAAGGTTTTCACCACTATTACATTAGTTCTCCTTATTACCACAGAAGAGTTTCAAAACTGCTCCCCCTCAAATTCTACAGTTTCTCAGTGCACAAAGTGATTTATTCAAAGTCATAGAGATGGCTTTCCAACAGAACTGCAGACCCTCAAAAACAAACAAAAACCTCTCCCCCATATTTTAAAAGTAAGTTCCAGTTAGGTTACATTTTACAGGCTTACAAATATGTAAGTATATATACACATACATTTTTTGGGGATTAAATCACCAAGCACTAAAATATTTTTAAGAAGCTAATAAATCATTTTAAGATGTATCCACACAATAACAAAAATCATTAATTCAAACTTAAGGAACAACCAAATTAAACCTACTTAGCTTCTAAGAACAGCCTACAATCTTATTTCCAGTTGAAAGTTTAGAACTCTGTTATAAGCCTTTTTCCTCAAACTTTTTTTCTAGAGTCCACTTTTTTCCATTACTCAGTAAAGCCATTTTCTTTCTGAATGAAAAAAAGAAAATGCATTGGAAGGGACAAGGGAGTGGTGGTGAAATCGAGTTGCTCATTTCTAACCAAAACCAAGTCACTCCTAAAAGGCAGTGGTTTCAACCCACGCTCTTGCGCTTATTCGCTCCAAAACCTTGGAGTAATCATTTACCTCTCAACCCCAGTCTCTGTACTTGTGAAATATATTACAAATTCCTTCCTGTCCTGACAGGTTCCTTTTGCAGTGTCTAGCATGGAGCAGTCACACAACAGTAACTACTATTACTTTTAACTAATTCAGTAATCTCCACAACCCAACTAGTTAGAAACAGCAAAGTAGTGGAGTCCAGGCGATGAGGCCTTGAATGCCGTTACCTGTGAGGAATAGACAAGCCTCCATCCACAGCTCCTTTCAGGGCCCCAAACACTTTATTTCCAGTAGTAGTTCTGGCAAGCCCTGCATCCAAGTAGCAGGTGAAGGCACCAGGTTGACCATCAATGCTTTCCACATTGTATTCATCTCCTGTCACCTCCACTTGGCCTTCATAGATCTTGTCCATGCCAAACCTATTGAGAAGCTATTAACAAAGAAGCCAGTATAAATACCTGTCTGAATATATTCAAACAACGCTAATAATATCACGTCACAACTTTAATGCCTCTGACAAAAAAATTTCCTTCTAATTTACTTATCCTTTAACACCAATCTACATTTAAATATCAATTTTTAAATGCTACAAAAAGAAACTTCAATTTCACCAGCTGTATTGACTTTATTCAATAGCTTCTTAATCTGCTACATGTCCATATTTGATTTATGCAGCAATCAATTAGGAGGTACATAAATCTGATTCTTCAATAAGACTGAGTAATCTCATTATTTGGTCTTATTTGGCTATAATTCAACAACCACATATTAAAATGTTATCACATGTAGTTTTTGAGTAGGATCCTGGGTTGAAGACAATCTTTTGTGGCTCTAACTACATTATGGTAATGTGGGCAACTCCTCTGTTAGTACATGTCACCTAGTTATGGTTTCACAAGCAGTGCCTTCACACCAAGTTGCTCTCATATATAATCACAATGTTCTGCACCCCCGCCCACAGTCATAACCAATGAAGATGTAGGTCCCGAACAATGATGTATGCTCAATAATTTTACTGCAAACCAGGGTAACTGAGAAAAAAATAAGGCAAAGTCAAATTTTCATTTTATGCACATTACAGGAAATGCTGCCACCCAGAGGCAAAGATGATTAAAACAACCCCCTCAATCAATATGCACCCCCCAAGTTTAAAACACTGCTTCTTAAATTTTAACATGCATATAAATCATTTGGACATCTCACTAAAACAGATTCTGAAAATCTGCAATAGTCTACATTTTTAACGTATGCTTATGGTCAGAAGATCATTTCTGAGTAGATGTGTCCAATAAGATAGCCACAAGTGACTACTCAAATTTAAGTAAAAAATTCAGTTCATCAGTAGCACTAGACACATTTTAAGTGCTCAACAACATGTGACTGCTGGCTACCATTATCAGATTAGATGTCACTGCAGAAAATTCTATTGGTCTAGATACACCTAACAAATGGCAGAAAACAGGGAAATTGCTTACCCAAATTATTAGAAAATACACTGATGTCTCAAACCTTGTATTTTTAAAATCATCTTTCCTAATGATGCTTTTGTAAGCCACATGTTACTATTTGGCACTCTCTGGACCCCACAGCTGAAGGTATCTTATCTACTTGTGAACATCTATCTTTCAGACAACTTCAAACAATGAGCTAATTCCAGAACACATCAATTAAAGTAATTCTGTACATACCCTGCGGGCCAGCAGCAGGCCAGTACAATATGCTGCAGCATAATTTGTCAGGCCAACCTTCACACCGTACTTTGGGAGTTCATGAGCATAAGCTGCACAAACTATCATATCTCCTTCTATACGTGCATAAGCAATCTATAGTAAGAGAAAAACCAGGTTATGACTGCTTGCCATAAGCGCCTTTGTTTTCTAAGAACTTGACAAAGATCTGCATCACTTAAAATCTATCTTTGTTAAACCCACTCAACTCCAAGTGGTTTATGGTTTGATCAACTATAGCAGGTAGATTCATGAGTCTGTAAATGTTTATGTCACAGTATGTTAGGCTAAAATTACCACATGCACATTGAATAGTCAAATGCTTTTGAGATAAATTATGCTGTAGTTCCTTACTTCTAAATACGGAAAAGACTTAGCTGCGATAGCTGGTGAATTAGAGGCACTTTAAAAAGTCAAAAAGAATTCCCAATTATTTCAAACATCTTTTGAGCTAAGCATATTTTAAGCCCAATAACGTTTCAGACACCTAGTGTTAACAGTTATCTGTACTTAGGTATAGAGAAAGACAGTGCCTTCACAACCACAAATTAGTTTGCCCAGAAAACTGGCATGCCTGCCTCCTGTATGCGAAGACCCAGAAAAATCGTGAGTAAAAAAATTTTCCCTAGTTGTGACACTCCAGAAAATTATCTTCTAGAAGCACACTGCCACTTTATGGAGATCTTTGATGTGTAAGACAACTTCACACATGACAATTAAAACCTATTTCAAACAATAAGCAGGAGTTAAGAACAATCCTGAGTCTAATTTAATCTTCAGGAAGACGACTTACCCCTCTAAAGAGGGGTATGTAAAGCCATACAGCAAAAGCCAGGATGCTGTCCATGACAAATCCTATCATTGCACTGGAGCTGGAAGACGCAGAAACCTACTACTTGCTTTCAAATTTATCCTTCCACCCCACCCACCCCCCTCAAATACCATAAATTTCTCTTATCCTCTTTTCCCCCAATTAAAAAATAAATGGGCTCAAACTGGGTCAGGACTGTCAAACATGGCTGATCTTCAGAGTATTTTTTTAAAGTACCAATTTCCCAGGCTCCAAATTTAAGACCCACAAAAAGGAAAACCACTAACTCGATGTTTTTGGCATCCCAGGCTCCCCACTTGATGGACCTTCTAATCCACACAAGCGTTTTATCTTCCAAGTACAACTAACTTCTCTAGCCCCCAGAATTAGGGGGCAGCGGGGTTTCACCATCACTGCTTGTGTCTAGAATGCAACTTACCTGACAAATGATATCTCTGTTGGTTACACGAACTATCATCCTGTATTTCGGTGTGTTGTACTTATTCTTATCCTGGATTACCAAGCGTTTCCGTGCATAATAATCAGTTTTACCCTCTGGAAAAGAAGTTAATAAGTAAGAAATTTTCCACTGCAATGCAGATTCGTTTAATACTGTAAACATGAAAACCTGACCGTACCTCGTCGTCTTCTAAATTTCACTTGGTATCTCTTGAAGTAGGCCTTATTTTTAACAACTTTCACAAACCCCTTTAAGAAAACAAAAAACAAAAAACCATTATCAAATGTTTTAGACTACGATACTTTTGACATCTGAGATGTAACAAACTAACACTTGAACTTCAAAAGTGAATCTAGACAACTGTCACTTTAGTAGAGCCCAGGCTTTCTCAAACCATCTAGGGTCAAGAATCACTTCTTCTACTTTCCATCTGTCAAGACTGATAAAAGACTTCTTCAGACTAACGACACAGACTTTCTGAAGCACCCGCCGCTCTCCCGGAAAAGCCACGAAGCAGGCAGGCGTGGAGCTACGTCCAGGAGCCGCAGCCCGTCTCCACTCCGCACCCCCCAGCTAATGTGAAACCGACTAATGCCATCTCCCTTGTCCGGCCGCCTGAAGGGGCCCTCTCGGACAAGCCGGCACTATCCCCTCGGCTTGCCTACTAAACTCACCGCACCTCCACCCCTCGCCACCTTCAACCCGTGCCTCAGCTCCTTCTGTTCGCTAACCCCTTTCCCCCAAGGCTTGCGCGCCGGGCGGCAGCCATTAAGGCCACGCTGGGAGCGGCAGACCGGCTAGGGCAAAGCCCGCAATCGAATGCCATCCGACCCCTGGGCCGCGCGAGACCGACCGTACGTTGGCATTGGGGCAATGTGAGCGAACCCTCATCCACCTATAGTCCCAGGATCGGGATACCCACTCACCATCCTGCGGATGAGAGACCCACGGCCGCAGCTTGCCACAGACCTACAGGCCTAACACAGCTCCGGTAGGGAAAAAGGCCGCAGCCTGTGCGCAGGCGCAGTATGTAGCGCCCGCGATCACGCTAGCGACGTGTAGAAGAGAGGTTCTCCTGCCGTCAGGAGTGCGGCATGCCGCCTCCTGCTGGTAGGAGGTCCCACGCGGGCCTTGGTCTTGTTGCAGCAAATCCTTAATGCTCCTGGCTGATGATGACCCGACTGCGATGGTCTGTAAGCAGTAACAGGGCAGATTACCTATAGGAGGCTTTCACTTTGCTGGTCTAGGAAGTTGTTTCATAACATGTATTACTTTTGTAAGCAGGAAAAAAAATTTAAAAACT